AAAATAAGTATTCGTCGGATTAATTAAAAAAAAATATACTGGGGAGGAAGGGCGCGCCGCGCAGGTTTCCCTGGCAATGTTAGGCGCTTACAGGGAGGACGGCTCTGCGGAGCGCTCCGAACGGACAAACCACAATAAAAAGTTCACGTTCATGGATGGAATCCACATGACTCCTCGTGGCCAATCCAACTTGTGAGTCGATCGTAAACTTTTATTACTCAGCTGTAAATTTTCTGCAAACAACCGGGAATGCGATGCATTTGTGTAGCGTGTGCAAATGGGCGCCGCGGTCGCCATGTTTACCCAATTCTCCGGGCGAGGGCGCATCCCCGACCCCCACCCCCACCCCACCCACCCCGCTCCCCACGGACCCGCGGCTCGCGGCCAGCGCCGAGAGGGCGCAGGGGGGCCGAGGGAGGCGGCCAGGAGGATCCCAGCGCCGGGCCGCTCGCCTCCCCCTGCCCAGCCGAATTTTCAATATTTTCCTTAATAAATGGGGTAACAAGGTTGGATGGGGGCATGACCGTTGGGAGCCTTACAGAGATTCGTGGCATTGGGGCAGCGAAAGCCGGCGGGTGGAGGCACTGAAGTGGGGCGCACCCCCTACCCTACCTTTGTGTTTAGGGAGAGAACAACGTCCTTCCAAATGGGGTGCCCTGGCAGCCCCCACTCCCCTCCGGCCCACCCCAGACAGGAAGGCGCGGAGAGACAGGCCTCTGGAAGCCTTGCAATCCAGCCTGACCTAGCCCTGGTCTGAAGAGCAGGGCGGGCTGGCACCGCCCTGGGCAATCCTGCAGAGGCAGCAGCAGGGGTGAGAACTGGGGGGTGAGGGCAGCCTCCAGAGCCCCCAGTTCCTTTCTTGGAGAAAATGACTTTTTTTCCCCCCCAAGAAGGTCCCTAGTCTCAGGCCTCCTCCTCAATTCCTAAGTTCAGACGGCAGCTTACTCCCAATATTTTCAGAATTAAAAACAAAACTAAGGCCCCAGACCGTGGTCCCCACGCCTTTCTCCTCTGGATGCAAGGTGATTTGAAGCCTTTTCTGCCTTGTCGGGTTGCCCCCACACACACGCGACTGCCTTTTACAGAAAAATCCCAGTGTCTGGGCATCTGGGACACACCTTGGGGTCCCTGAAAAAATAAAAAAAAAAAAGCCTCATCCCTTCCTGAATTCCACCTCTGATACTACATTCCAAGCACCTGAGGCACCTTTGCTTTCACCAGATTTCTGATGCTGGTGACCATGCGGGGTGGGGGAGCCCAGAGTCAGTGCGCTCACAGAGGCTATTTGCCAGCCCCTCTCCCCACCAGCCAGAGATGTGAAGGCCCAAAGCCCGCCCCTGGAAGGGGCATCGAGCTGGTATGGGGACTTCCCGCAACTGGGTGCCCCACCCCAACCAACAGGGGGCCCTTCACCCCTCCCCAAACTTCCTGCACAGTAAGTGAAGTAGTTCCCTCAGCCGGATGCAGGGACCTCGTTTCTTTTACAAACCCACCCATAAATTTTATAACAGGTAGTTAAAAATTACGACGAGGAAGCCCTGGCCCTGCTTTTCACAATGGGCCGCAGGGAGAATGGGACAGCGCTGCGGGCAGCTCACCGGATATTTTGCCTCCAGTCTGTGGCACAACCTGTCCCAAGATCGCTGGAGCGGGGCGGGGTGGCCGTTCTCCAGCCGGCGGGCCGCAGCCGCGGGGGCATCGCCTTTGGGGAAATGAGGCTGGGGAGGCCAGTCCACTCTCCCATCTTAGGGTTCCCCCAAGAAGCCCTTTAGGGGACACACCACCTCCCTCCCAGCCCAGATCCCCTGCAGGCCCCGCACCTCCCCTGGCCTCTGCCATGAAGGGAGAAAATGCCTGCCGATCACTTTTTTTAAATCCAGAGAAACGAATTTGCCCCCCAACTTAATAGCTGCATTATCCCGTCTCTATGGTTGAGATTAGAATAATAAATTCAAGGCGAAATGAGCGAGATGCTTCAACTCAGCATTTTGAAAGATACTATTTTTCACAAATCACAAATAGCTTTCGGAAGCCACTTTGATTGGCTAATAAAAAAGTAAAGAATGGGAGAAAGTCCTATCTGCTGCAGCCGAATGGTCCCCATTCCGGTAATGGGACGGCGGGAGCATTTGGGAGGACGCGTTTCTAAAGAGAGCGCATCCCGCTCGCAATTAAGTTCCCCCATAAAACGGATTTTACCTCCTTTTCTCTCTTAACGAGCAAACAGAGGCGGTGGGCAGAAGGGGTGAGGGAGCGGGTGCTGCAAGAGGGGGCGGCTGGAACTTTCTAGGCTCGGCCCATCCGATGTTTCCCATCTCAAGCGATGCCGGCGGCAGAAGCACCCCACCCCACCCTCCGACGCCGGGCTTGGGGCCACCGCTCCGCTGAGCGGGACCAGGGACGCGCGGGTCATTCGTGCGGGGGGGAAATTCTGCGAGGTCCTTTGGAGCCGCCTAGTAGGGGGCTCAACCCACTTGGCCACGGGGTCAGCGATTTTTATTAATAGCAATAAGAATAATTCCACGGTTAAAAACGAAACGTCCCTGAGCCAGCCCTCGGAGTCGAGAGGGGATGCGCCGAAGGCCCGAGGTCGCGGCCAAACACGCTGTTTCTGGGGCTCCCCTGACAGGCAGTGGGTGTCTCCCCAAGCAAAAGGGGTTACCTGGCTGTCGCAGCAGCTCGCCCCGGGGACCTCAGATCCCGAAAGCTCTCCCCTAGAGCGGCTGGAAGCTAGCTACCCGGAGCCTGGGCTGCCCAGCCACAGCCTCTGCGGACCCAGGAGCCGCCTGTCAACGAGGCCGGAGCCGAGCCAGTGCTACGTCCAGAACCACTTCCAGGGGGACCCGGACCCAGTCGCGAGTGCAATCACACAGAACAAAAGTCGGCTGGGCCTCAGTCTGGGAAAATCATTGACCAGAGGTGGGGGGTTGGGGGGGAGAGACAGAGAGAGAGAGAGAGAGAGAGAGATCTGGCCTCAAAAATATTTCAGCCTTTGGGGGTCTGGTTTTAAGACCAGAAGATCCCATCACTTCCCCTTGTGCCCCTCTCCTGGCTGAGTGAGATGACTTGTATCTCTGGAATTTGGTATTATTCCACCAGAACCTTGCTGGCATAAACAGATTTCTGTCTACCCTCCAGAGTGGCGTGGACACCCCTTTGCCCCCCAGAGTCCCTTAGCCTTTGAGCCTTTAACTGGGGGGAATAAGAAGGTCAGTGAAGACTCTCCTTGCCCTGCTGTGGCAGGGGCAGAGGACTGTCCACTCAGAAGGCCACTCCCCCCCCCCCAGGTCAGTGGCCTACACTGAGGGCAGGCCAGTTGCCAAGGTGAAGCTGGGAGCAAGCTTGAAGCAGCTAGAACAGAGGCTGGGGTGGAGGCAAGTGGGCTGCTGACAGTTGATGGCTCTGTTCCTGCCAAATTCCAGTTTCAGAAGGTGGCCCTAGGCTGCCTGACACAGCAGTTCCTTCCCCTTCCCCTCTCTCCCCCCAGGCTAAGGCTTCCTCGCCCCCACCCTTGGCAACCCCCTTCCCCAGGCATCTTCCAGCCAGCTGCCTTGAGATTCACATTTCTCCTGCCCTGCTCACTGTGCTGGTGCTGGTGCTGGTGCTGGTGCTGGTGCTGGTGCTGGCTCAAGGGCTGGCCCTGAGGTGCCTGTGGAGACCAGAGTTAACCCCATGACTTCATCCTTAGCCCAGGCCCCAGAAGGAAAGGCCCTAAATGCAGGCGGGGTAGGGAGAAGATTCTTTGTCTGTGCCTACCCTGGGATGGGGAGGAAGGTGGTTATTAAGTGGGAGATGCCTTTTCCCCACTGGGGTCCTCGCATCCTCTGGAAACCTACTTTGTCTGGAGCTCAGGTTCTCCCAAGAGCGGTTTGCTCTTCTGCTCGCTCTTCTGCTGGGCTCCCTCCCCCCATCACCTGCCCTCCTAGCCCAGGCTGCTCCCAGTTCCTCACCCTCACCCTCGCCACGTGAGCTCCCCCCCACCTCAAAGTCGGCTCCGTGGAGACCTTTGTCCAGGTGTGGAGAGGGAAGGGTGCAGAGGGAAGAGGGGGCAGGGAACTCGGGAGTGGGGGGCGGGCATGGTGAGCAAAAAGCAAGTCATTCCAGCTTCAAATATTTTTTCTCCTTTTTTTTTTTTTATTATGACTCACGTATACAATACAAAGTACTTGGACCAGGAACAGGGCTGCCGGACACAAAATCTACATTCATAGCTGGACATAAAGACAAATGACCAAAAATTATTATTATAGATATATCTTTAACATTTTTTTCTTTCGAGCACATTGCATAAACAGAGGATTCAAGACAGAGTTAACTATACATTCAGTGCAATTTAGTTCTACTCTACTGGGGTTAGAAGCACAATAAAAGCGCACAGGACCGGCGGGCTAGGCAGTCTTAGTTGTTGGGTTTTTCTTAGTGAAATAAGCAGCAACAAACGACAACAAAACGGCATTACGAATACTCTCAAAGCAGGATTTCTCTCTATAGGTAGTGATAAAATACGCTGGAGGTTTCTTTCTTTTTTTTTTTTTTCATTTTCTTTTTTTTTCTCTTTTTTTCTCCCTATGAGGATTTTTTTTTAAATGTCTCTTTTTTTTTTATTTTTTCAAGATTATTGCAGGTTCCCTTTAGGTAGTATGTTAAAGATTTATTAGCAGTATTATTATTATCATTGTTATTATTACGTTCATGATTAGGGTGATTTCTGAGCGCTCACACTAACGCGGCTCAGAGGAAGCTGGGCCCAGCAACAGAAATCACACAGCAAAGGGGAGCAAGGCAGGGGCCGAGTGGCCGTGGGGGGCTAGGTAGGATTTTAGCGGTGGCTGCAGGCTCCAGAGCTACTCAATGGGAGGGCGAGGGGAGGGAGAGACCCACTTCTCTCAGGTTTCCATTAGGTTCCTAGAGAAAATCCAGGGGGTCTTTCTGAATGGGGAGCCCCAGGGAGGGAGAGGGACTATTTCTTGCCATCAGGTTTGTGTGATGGTTTGTTGTTGTTGTTGTTGTTGTTGAATTTCTTTGAACATTTTTCCCTTTTCCTGTCTTCACTTTTTCTTCCCTTTGGAAAAGAAAGTAAATCTAGATCGTCCATCCTAGCATAACAACAAAGCCAGGAGAGTCTTCATCCATATTTGAGGGGCTCCCCTCTAAATAAATACCAGAGAAGCAGGGAGGTGGGAGTGTGTCAAGAGGGGGCCGAGGGGGTGAAGAGGCCACGTCTCAGACCTTCGAATCCTGGCAGGACTGGGAAGGGCAGGGAGGGACAAGTGTGACCTGGGGCCAGGACTGAGACAGAGTCCAAACTTTCCGCCGTGTCTGGGTCTCCCCCCTCCGGCCCCCAAACAAATGAAGATGGGGGAAGTCCAAAGGTAATAAAATCAGAGCTGCAAGTATCTGACAGGTAGTTAGGGTTGTGAGTGTCATTCTATTCTCTATAAAAGCAAATGACAGTCGTAAACTTCTCAATTTATCCGCTACCATAAAACGAAACTTCAAGGGAGTTGCTGGGGGGGGGGGTCCCTCTTTTTTTTTTTTTTTTTTTTTGCTTAGTCCTTGTTTTCTTCCTTTTCCTCTTCTTCTTTCTCCTCTTCCTCATTTCCTTCTTCCTCCACCTTCTCCTCGTCCCGGGCTCCAGGCAGTTTATCCTTGTTGTTCTCCTTTTTCCATTTCATCCTCCGGTTCTGGAACCAGATCTTCACTTGTCTCTCGGTCAGTCCCAGGGCGTGAGAGACCTCAATCCGGCGCTTCCGTGTCAAATAAGGATTAAAGAGAAACTCCTTTTCTAGTTCCAAGGTCTGATACCGGCTGTAAGTTTGCCTTCCACTGCGCCGCCCCGGAGCTGGACAGAACAGAACCCCAGTCTGGTTACGTTCGGGTGGGGGCTTGGCTTTCCCTTGTCACTCTTTTCCCCCTGGAGTCCCCCCCCTGAGCTCCCGGGTTCCCTCCCTCCTGCGGAAAGGGCAGAAAGAGCGGAAAGCAGGCAGGGGCAGCAAAGTTTGGGGGACTGTCTGCTTTGGCTTCACCTTGGGAGGTGGGGTGGGGTGGGGGGCAGGGACTGGGGTCTCTCTGGAAGCTCGGAGATTGCAGGGGGCCGGGGAACACTGCAGAGTACCCCCCAGGCCTGCAGTCCCAGGAAGCTGGCCCTTGCAGCTTTGTTTACGAGTGCAAAGTGGCATTTGGTGAGCAGGGCTGGGGACAGGGTCTCCTTCCTAGAAAGGAAAAAGGTCTTGGGGGTGGGGGGAGAGGAACTCTGCTCATCGCCCCCTCCTTGAGGCTCTCTGCCTAATGCTGTTGTAGTAAGAAAAGTCATTGATCTCCTGGAATGTATCACCGGCTTGGCCTGATGGCTAACTGGAGACCAGCAAATAAATCACAGGCCATCCCCGCTGGAACTTGTCGCTTTTTCTCTTCCCCTTTTACTTCGAAATTGGGCCACGAGGGGCTGCCTTAGGACCCTGAGCCACTCTGAGGGTCCTGGGGAGACCCCACAAGCCTTTGAGAGGGGCCCCGTGCCTGGGGTCCTCTGGACCCCAGAGCCTCCTGATCTGTGTGGCCTCTCTCCAGCACTCCTTTCCCTCCCCTCTGCCTCTCCCCTCTCCCCTGGAGAGAAGTGAAGGAAAGTTAGGGGATGGCCCTGAGGCGGGCTCCCTGCGAGGAGGCAGTGGGCACCCCCAGAGAGCTGGAGCACCTGTCCTTGGGGGTCTCGCCACCCTCTGAGCCAGCTCAGGGAGGGAACCAGTGGTCTCCCTCTGCCCCAAGACAGCCTGGCCCCTGTCCTGGACGCAGCCTGTCTGCCTTCTGGAGAGACTGAATTGCTCCCAAGGCTGGTCACCTCTGGGCTCTCGGCCCCTTCCCAGCCAACTCCCCAAGTCTGACTTGGAGAGGGCCGGAGGGAGCCGCAGACAGACAGACAGACAGAGGGGGAGAGAACGATTTTTAACCCTTTGCGCCTAGAAGCCACCTTCTCCCCCACTTTCCCCCCAGCCCCCCAAATAGCCCAGGCAAGCCCCGTGCCCCACCCCCAGCCGAACCTCCCAAGCTGGAGAAACCCACTCAAGCCAGGGTGGGGCAGGAGAGACCCCAAAGCCGGGAGGGAAGGCAAGGGCAGACAAAAAGGAGGCGAGGGAGGGGGAGACCCCGGAGCGCGGGAGACCGAGGGGGAAAGAGAAAAGGCTTCTCACCGTGGGGTCTCATCCATGGAAACATGAGGCTGGGAGACGAGTTTTGATTTAAGTGGCCTTGTCCTTCGCTACTGTTAGTGTTGGCGGAGGATTTACAGTCGGGATATTGCACCACGCTCGCCTCTTGCTGAGCCCCATAAAGGGACTGTCTGGGGAGCGCCTCGTAGCCATAGAATTTGGAGGCGTCTCCGTGGCAGCTCAGCGAGCACGGGTTCTGCTGGTAGCCCGAGTTGGAGATGCCCGAGGTGCCGTGGTGGAAGAAGTCTTGGACGTGGTGCGAGGCGTGCTGGAAGCCGGGCGCCGAGCCGCCGGGCCCGTACACCAGCGCATGGCTCCTGCCCACGCCTTGGGGGAACCGGCAGTCGTAGTAGGCCGGCTCCAGCGACTCGCCGCCTTTGTACTTGGAGAACAGGGGGTTGACGAAGTAGGAGCTCATGCTGGGCACATGAAACCCGCCGCCCCCTCCCCGCTGGCTCGCGACTCCCCCGCCCGGTACCCCCGAAACTCCCCTCCCCCCGGAGCGAACCCCGGGCCGGCTGGCGCCCCGGGACCGGGCGGCGCTGGGGGGCCGGGGCTGCGCAGCTGGGGGCGCGGGGTGCGGGCCGGGCCGGCTCGCGGAGCTCCCGGGGCTGGGCGCGGGCGGCGGCGGCGGGCGGCGGGCGGCGGGCGGCGGCGGCTCCTTCACTGGCGGTAGGTAGAGCTCGCGCCCTCTCGCTTAGCGCTTTCCTTTAACAGCCCAGGCGAATTCCTCAGACTCCCGGCGGTGGCGGCGCTTACACGCGATTCGCGTTCATCAATCCACGACATGAAGACAGGCGAGAGCGAGAGAGAGCGAGAGAGAGCGAGAGAGAGAGAGAGAGAGAGAGAGAGAGAGAGAGAGAGAGAGAGAGGGAGAGAGAGGGAGAGAGGGAGAAGAGAGGAGAAGAGATGGTGGGGGGTTGAGGGGTTCAGGGGCTGGGGGGACCTGGAGGAAGGGAGGGGGCGGCCAGGGGGAGGGATGGGGGTGTGGTGTATGCGTGTGTGCAGGGGGGTGGTGAGCCAGCCCCAGCTAATGGCTGGGGCCAGCTTTTCCAAGGTGCGCATTCAGATTTGAAGGTGCCCCCCCTTTTCCTGCCTCCAAAGAGAGAGATACCTGAGCCAGCAGGTCAACTCAGGTTACCTCAACAGGTATAAGACCCCTGAGGTTCGGTGCCAGCCAAGGAGAAGGAGAATTGGTCTCCAACCTAAGAGGCAGACTCCCTAGGGGGTCCCTAAGTCTGGGGACTTGGAGAAGCACGTCACATCCCTAATACTTGGGGCTTCGGAGCCCTCTCTGTCTCTGCCCCCCCACCAAGGTGGGAAACTGCCTTGGCTTTCCTCCATCTTTAAGACTCCCTTGCCTGCCAGCCAGGGCAAGATAGAAAAGAGGGCAGGAGTTGGGGGCACTCCATACCCCAGTCCAGGCTACACTGCCCCTCCAGACGCCAGCCCCTGCCTGAGGCAGGATGCCAGGCAATGGCCACGCACGAGCTTGGCTGGGGGTTCTGAGAGCAAAATCTGCTCCTTGGGGTAGAGGAGAGGGCCTCGGGCAGCCCGGGCTTGTTTCTTCTTGGGAGCCTGCTTCTGTGGGGGTTGGAGGGGACGCCACAGGCCCTCTGGGTGTCCCCACAGACCCTAACCCCATAGGAAATGCCAGCTTTGCCTGAAGGGGGCCCCTGGCTTCACCCCCCCCCCAGGTCCCCAGGCAGGCAGTCCAAGCCAGGATGTGGATGGGAACTGTCAACAGACACTCTTTAAATATTTACCCACACTTTCTCCGGGGGGGTTGTCACCCCCCAGCCCAACACTGGGCCAACTCAAGTGAATTCTAATGGCGACAAGAAACCTGAGCGCACCCTTCTCTGGCCAGCAGCGTGTGCAGCTACCCGGCTCGGCTCGCACAGGCGGAGCGAGGAGAGGGCCAGGGGGCCGAGGCTGCGCGTGCACACGGGGGAAGGGGAAGAGGATTAAGAGTGATTTTCCTGGTCCTCCCGCTCAAGGGCGTGTGAGGTGGTCACACCCGGGGTAGCCCCGGGCACACTTGGCGCACACACTTGGCAGACTGTATGCGCTACTTTCTGCCCTGAAACACATCAGATGCTCGTGAAACTACCAAGCATGTCCGGGAACACCCCCCGCCCTCGACGCCCACAGACACCGCACACAAACGTGCAGGGCCAAGCCCACGCCAACGTGCCACCTGACAACACAGTATCCTCAGCTCGTCACATCGTGGGGGGAAGTGCTACCTATTTTCCTGCCACATCCTGGAGTTTCAGGGTTGGCTGAGGAAGAAGGTGGTTAGAAAATTAGATCTTTTTCTTCCCCATCCGGAACCAGCTCTGGGGATGGAAAAGGGGGGGGGCAGTGCAGGGGCGGGCGGGTGGTGGAGAGAGAACAGTATGACCCCTCCACACACACACACCCCAGAGGCCCTCCATTATCTAAACAATTGCTGGGGAGAGGGCCATCCTCAGCCAAACCCCTAAAGCAAAGTCACGGGTGCCCCAACCAGAGAAGCTGCCAGGATCCCCTGAATTTGGAAGAACCTCCCCCCCATCTGGCTTAGGGGCTGCCCAAACTCTGCAATGCTCAGAACTCAGGGCCTGGACCTGCAGGAAGGGAGGGCGCGCCGCAGACCGCCCTAGGGTGGAGTACAGTGAGGGGGGCAGGCCAGGGGCGGCTCCACCACCAGAGCCTAGTCCAGTTTTGGTTCCAGCCCTGCCTCCGCCGAGCTGCTCTGCGGAACGAAGCAGAGGGAGGTGAACTCCAGGCTTCCAGCATCTGGGCCACTGGGGACCGTCATAAATACTTTCCCTTCTCCAGCCTGCAAAGAGGACGCTTGGCAGGCCCGGTCCTCTCTGGGGCCTGCGCCTTATCTTTTAAGGGGTGGGGGGATATCTCGACATTTTATGGTCCAGCGAAAACCCTGTCACGGAGCTTTTCTTCCAGGCCTTTGTGTCTTGGAATGCGTCTGTCCCTAGTGTGCCGCCGCCAGCGCCTGCTCTGGGAGCCGAGGAGTCCCGAGAACCCCTGGCTGGACTTGGTTTACCCCTTTAGGGCTCCCTCGCCTTCTCTTTAACGCATTTGTTTTTTGGGCTTTTTTTTTGTTTGTTTGTTTGTTTGTTTGTTTGTTTTTCTTTTACACCTCTCTGCTTGGGGTCGCTCCTGGAGCCTGGAAATAAAGGAACAGCAAGCAGCCATCCTCGCTGGGGCGTCTCTGCCCCTCGCCCCGAGGCCTGCACCGCCCTCCTAGGTACCACGGATTTATGTTCGTTTGTCCGGGTCATGCTGCCTTTTTGTGTTAATTACACGCTGCCTGCTTCCGGCTTATCTCCTCCACGAAGAGATTATTTTGCACCCTCGCCCTCCCGAGTCGCCCGAGCCTGCTGCCAGCGCGAGGGCCCAGCTCCCGCCCGCCACTCGCGATTTATTTACACCTCGCAGGTGAGAGGATTGATTTGCTCCGTCGGCGGGGCCGGGCCGGGCCGGGGCGCGGGCCTCCTGGCAGCGGCTCGGGGCGGCCTCAAGTGTCAGCGCGGCCCGGCGGCGGGGGCGCCGCGCCTCTAACATTGAGCAACAGCGCCACCTCGCGTCCGCGCGCGCCCCTGCAGCCGGCCCGGAGCCCCGGCCAGGAGCAGGTCGCAGGCCCGGCCCCAAGGTGGGACGCGAGGCGACCGTCCCCGCGTCGGGGCGCGCGGGCCCCCCGCCCCAGGCGCTCCCCGGGCGCGCGCGGGCCCGGCTCTCCCGCCGTCTACGTTCTCGAAACAAGCTGGCCGAGGAGCTCACGCGCTTCTCTCTTTGCCACCCTCGCTCCCTCCCCTCCCGAAGAGACTGCACCGCGCGGCCGCGACCCACCGCCTCGGTCCCCCGGGCAGACGCATTTCTGGGCGCCGGGCACCTCCGCCCTGGCAGATGCGCGCCCCGAAGCTCCACCACCTGCTGCCCGAGGCGCGCGCCCTAACGTCCTGGCTCCTCTTACCCCGCTGCCGGCTCCGCACCGCCTGTCCCGCCGCCGCCCGCCCGCAGGACTTTGGGGTGGGCCTCTGCCTTCTCCGGCTGCAGCCCCCGGTTCGTAGCCATGCCGCTCTCTCACGCGCGCGCTCGCCCCCTCTCCCTCCCGGCCAGTGAGGGCCTGTTCTCCGTGGGCCATAGACAAAACATTCCTATAATCCGATTTCAAAGGAAAGACTGTCCACCTTATTTAAACCATAAAACAATTAAGCCCAGACGTCTAGCCAGCTCCGCGCTGCTGTTTTGTTCGGGCCCCATTCAGAATCCAGCGCAGGGAGACAAACAGCACCATAAAAGTGGCATTTCGGGGCTGCGGAAATGTACCTATCCGCTGCCTTCCCAAGTGGAACAACCTTTAGGGTTTTGTGATTCTGACAAAGGAGCAGCGGAGGGACGGGAGGGGGAGAGGAGGGCCGGGGGGATCCCGCCAGCTTCTCCTGCCCCCAGCTCTTGCTCCTTTCTCCAGATGTGTCTCGTTTGCGTTCACAAATCATAATAAAGAAAAAATCAAATCCCATCCTGACCCGCAGGCCCGGAGCTGAACTGGTACCGCGGGCTCGGCCGGCTGGGCCTGCCGCATTCCTGGCTCCGGCCAGGGCCCTCCGAGCCTGCCCGCCTGCGGCCTCCTTCCTGCCCGGCGGAGCCAGGCCAGCCTCGCCGGCCGCAGGAAGCAGGCCGCGCTGACAGACGGACGAGGGGAGGCGACAGGGCCTGGGAGCAGGGGCGGGGTGGAAGCCCGGAAACGCCGGCGGCCTCGGGCTCGGCTGGGAGGGACCCTCAGAGAGGAGGCCAGGCGGTCAGGGCCGAGGGACAGGGGTGCCGGCCCCTGCCTGTGCCGGACTCAGCCCTCGGCCCCAGCACCACGAAATGACCAGAGCAAACGCTAGGCAAAGCATCTTTCCCCCGGACCCAGAGAACAATCGCTCTTGGAGCTGGGGAGGAGGGTTCCTTAAGCCGGGAAGTGCCAGGGGGCTGCAGCAACTGGGGACCTCGCTGGCTGTGACTTGTGATTGTCCTCCGCCAAATATTATCAAAACAAAACGCTCCTGTCTCGCCTCTCCCCACTGGCCTCCAGTCTCCAAGATGGGCGGACTTGATGCAAAGGGAGGGCATGAGCTTCCAGGGATGGGGCAGAGGCTGGTCCCTGCAAGTGCCTCACCAGCCCTGGAGGGGGATGCCAGGGGGGCAGCTGCGCATGGATTGGGGTCCCCCAATTATTTTCTTTGATGGTGGTATTCCCCAAGTATTCAGAGCGACACCCTGCACCCTTGCCAGAATGGGCAGCCTGAGATATTAAAGGGCTATATTTCAAGCAGCCTGAGTTTAATAGTTTCCAGATTGGGGGATTTCCGAGGAAGGGGGCACCGAGCTGAGGCAAACCCGGCAGCGAGGGTCTGCTTCTGATTAGCAGATGGAAACTGCTGGGTCTGGGCAAGGCACTCTGGGGTGCGGAGCCACTGACCAGCTCCACCGGGCATTACACACCCATCCCACACCCTTGCACAGACATCAGGACACAGCCCACTCTCCCCCCCCCCCCATCCCCGAGCCTTCCTTGGGCCCTCAGCACACCATCCCCCAGAAATGCAGCACCTCATCACCCCCAGATCAGCATCCACCACGCTGACAGATCAGGAGAGATTGAGAAAAGAGGGAGCGAGATGGAGAGAGAGCCAGAGAGAGACAGAGAGGAGCTGGGAATGCACTGACAAGCAGAAACTACATCCAATTCTGCCTGGATGAGCTTTGCCATCTCCCCTCTCCTGCCTTCCTTTCCTCCCTCCTGCCTCGCGCTGCAGCTGCCCTGTGGTGCTCTCCACACAGTGCCACAGTGCCCGGTGCCTAGCCTACTCCTCAAGGCCTGCTCAGCCTCCGCCCCCCACCCCCAAGTCATCCCTCGAAGCACTGGTGCAGCCAGCCAAGAATCCAGCCCGGGCCCTCACCCAGCACCCAACTTTCATCTTCACCTATCTCTTCCCTCCGATCTCATGTACTCGTAAATTATTACAATTAATTACAGCCAGGGAAAACCAGTCATGCCCTGCCCCTACCCCCTAGACTTCACTGAGCTACCAAGAAACTCACAGCCAGCCGGGGCAGGCGCTGGCCGGGCCTGGGCCTCAGCAGCCTCCACTCTACCCCCCTCCAGGCCCCCTCACCCCCCACCCCACCCCGCCCGGGCAGGCAGGGCAGGCACTTGCCCTTCGGAGGCAGAGGGGGTCCCTCGTGTGCCGCCAGCCTCCCCCGAGGGACCTGAGCACTTGCCTCCTCCGTGACAGCAGGCTGGGCGCCACGGGGAGGAGAAATAACGAGAACTGGATGCAGTTGGGTTTCTGGTTTTTTAAGTGACTTCGATATATTAACACAGAGCTGCTCTACCATAACAAACAGAAGCACGTTACAGGACGGACGCTGGGGGTGAGGCGACAGCGCTATGTACACCCGAGGCCTGGCGCGGCCCTCGCTCCTCAGCTCCTGGGCTGGGGTCGTTATTGTGTATGTGTGTGTGTCTTTTTTGTACAAAATCTGCACGCAGCGCGCCCCAGGCCTGGGGAGGGACAGCCCGGACCGAATACACACAGGAGAAAAATAGAAATATAGCGATTCAAGTACTGGCTTCTCTGAAGAAAGGAGAAAAAAATCACATTTGCGTGTCATTTATTTCAGTTGCGCTGGGAGAGGAGAACACGTTTCTCTCCCCTCCTCCTCCTCCTCCTCCTCCTCCTGGCGCCGGGTAGGACTAACTCTAAAACACCAATTTCTCAACACTGAACCCTCCCCAATTGCAAGAGTTTTCCTTTTCCCCTTGCTTTTTTTTTTTTCTTTTTAGGCAGATGGGCTTTTCTCTATCTTGCTCTTTCCTTTTCTTTTTCTTGCTCTCTCCCGCCTGGGTTGGGGTATTTTTGTGGGGTTTTTGTTTTGTTTTGTTTTGTTTTGTTTTTTCCTCCCTTGACTGTGCCGTGCAGCAGGCCGGGCAGGGCTTAGGATTGCTCCTTGTCGGTTTTCTCTTTATTCATCTTTTTCATCTTCATCCTCCGATTCTGAAACCAGATTTTGACCTGCCGCTCGGTGAGGTTGAGAACCCGGGCCACCTCGTACCGACGGTCCCTGGTTAAATACATATTGAAGAGAAACTCCTTCTCCAGTTCCAGCGTCTGGTACTTGGTGTAGGGGCAGCGCTTCTTCCTCGTGGAGCGGGCGTGGATCCAGTTAGCCACAGGGTTGCCTGCAGGGCCAGATAAAGGCAGGGGTCAGCGAAGCCCCTCTGCAGCCCCGGACCCCTGCCACCCCAACTCCAGACCTAGCCAGGCTTCCCAAACCCAATAATTGAACCTGAATTTGGACACATTTTGCTCGAGCAATTTCCCCCCCTAACGCCTTCTGCATGCTGCCCCCTCCCCACCTGCCCTCCCTGCAGTTTCCAGCACCTCCAACTATAGGAAATCAAAGCTACCCCAGCCCCCCCACCCCAACCCCAGTCTGGTCCTCAGCTTCAAGAGTAGTAATTCGAGAATATCCTCATAAAAAGTCCAAATTCCCAACCGTTTCATAGGCCCATAAACGCTTTCTCTCTTGTTTTTTATTTTTATAGTGAGGGCTCTCTCCTCCCCACTTCCCTCCTCCTCTGCCCCCTCCCACCCTTCCAGCCCACGACCAAGTCCTGAAATCTCAGCAGTTCTGCTTCCTGACCCTGAGGGCCCCCAGCCCCTCGCCCGCTCGCCAGCACCCGCCTCCGCTCTCAGAGTTCAACCCTGCTGAGGCGAATTCTCAGGGTGATGCTGGGATGGGAAGAGCCTTTCTCCTCTCTCCCCCCCTGCCAGGGCTGCTAGCCTTGGGAACAGGCTCCCCTGGACCTCAGCTTCCCTGCTGGGCTCCAGTGCCCCCCTCCTGCCAGCCCCAGGACAGGCTCTGCAGGAGCCAAGCCTCCAATTTCAGGTTTATGGGAGTAGCTGAGGGCAAGAGGAAAGCCTTCAGAGGGGTGTAATTAGGCCCTGGCCCCTTATGGGGCTGCAGGAAAGGATTTCCTGCAGCCCCCTCCTGAGACTCCCCCAAAACACTTCCTCACACCCAGGGGGCCGAACCCCCTCTCCTGTGGGTTCCCTTTCTTTCCCCTTTCTCTGGCCCTGCAGCTCCCACCTGCCCCCCTTCTTTGCAATACTCAGAAGGTCGCTGTCTCCCTGGCTGGAGTGTGAGAGTGTGTGTGTGTGTGTGTGTGTGTCTGTGTGTGTGTGTGTGTGTGTGGAATTCTCTGTCCAGGGGACTTATCTCTCCCCCACTCCTCACCCCGGACCCCCATTCTCAACCCTCTTCCCTGCAGACCCTCAGAAGAGGGTTCTCAAGTTGAAGGAGGCGGGGAGACCCCACTTGTCTCCCCCAACTCTGCAAGTCCTGAGCTATCCAACTTGCCAGGCTGGGGACTCCTCAGCCCCCTCACCCCAGTGCTCCTGAGGAGGGAGAAGCCCCTGGACCTTCTGGGGTCTCCTGGCTCCACTGGGGAGGGGCTCCCCCAGGCTGGCTGGGAAGTGGGGGTGCCTCTCCTCCCTGGGGCATTTCCTCTCCGTCCCCAACGTCCTCCTCATCCCTCTCCCACCTCACCTCTCGCCAGAAACGGAACCTCGCCCCCACCCCACGCCTGGCCCTGTCTGCATTTCTTGGAAAGTAGCGCCCGAGCCAGAGAGCCCGGGCCGGGGGCGGGGGGCGGGGGTCTCCCCTGCAGGCCAGCCCCCGGGCGGGCGGGCGCGGCGCCCCTCGGGGCCCTTCCCCACCCCGGCTCCCCACCCGGGCCCCCCTCCGCAGACCCTCCTGCCCCTGCGAGCTCCCAAGGTAATTCGCTTTTATTGGGTCCGGCTCGCCGGCCCTCGCCCCTCTCCCGCGGTCCCCGGGCCGCGCGCGGGGCTGTGATCCGGCCGCCCCCGCCCGCCCGCGCCGGTCGTAAAGGAAAATTGCTGCCAACTTACTGGGGTCCAGGTCGGCCTTCTCCTCTTTGTGCTTGCTGCCGGCGAGCGCGTCCGCCTCGGGCGAGGGCAGGGTCTGCGGGGCGCGGTCGCGCAGCTCCCCGGGCGAGCCGTACATGTAGTCCGGGTAGCTGCGGCCGTCGCCCGGGCCGCAGTCGGCGCGGCGCCCGGGGTAGGCGTCCGGCTTGAGCGCGTAGGGGCGGCCGCCGGCCGGGAAGCTGGGGAAGGACACGGCGCCGGACAGCGGCTCGAGCCAAGTCCGCATGTAGCGCGCGTCGGCGCCGAGGTGGGGCTGGGGGCCGTACGGGTGGTACACCACGGGCGACTGCGAGGGCACGGGCGCCCACGACGTGCTGAACACGGCCGGCTTGGGCGCGAAGCTACAGGACGGGAAGTCGCTACAGTCCGGCACCAGCCCGCTGGGTCTGGCGGCCGCGGGGTGCGCCCCGGTGGCCGGGAACCTGGACGCGAGGAGGTCCTCATTGTCGTGCGAGATGAGCGAGTCCACGTAGTAGTTACTGATGGGCCCCGTCGCCGACATCGTACCGGGGTTTTACATACATAAGATTATTGTATGAACTGTATATGTACTTTTTATCTGCTCCCAGAACAATCAAGGCAGGTAATTATTTTTCCAGCCTTTTCCGCGCCGCCCATTGGCTCCCCGGCCCCCACGTGATCGTATTTACCCAAAAATACGGCGCGGATCAATGCGCAGGGGCTTTTTTCCCCGGCGTTGCCCCCTCCCGCCCGCCCCCCGCTCGCCGCGCGCCCCGCGACACGCGCTTTCCTGGGGGTGCGCCGCGCCCGGCCCGCGGCGCCCGGGCCCCCTCGGCGCGAGTCGTGTCCGCGCAGAGCAGCCCCGGCCCGGCCCGGCCCCCCCGCCCCCCCTAAGCAGAGGGCCGCCCGCCCGCCCCCCCCGCGGCAGCACCCCCCCCGGGATTTCTTAATGGGGTGACCAGGCCAGGCCCCCCCCAGGCCCGGGCGCCCGGACCCCCGAGGCCGCGGGCCGGCGCCGGGGGGCGGAGAGGCGCCGAGGTAGGTGGAGGAACTATTTCTTGACGTAATCCGTCTCTGTCGCCCCGACGCGCCCGCAGTCTCCGGGCGAGCGAGCCGGGTCTGCGATTGTCAGTTCGGAACGTGGCTTTTAAAAATGCGTTTTTAAATAGTGAGCATGTACGTGTCTCCCGCGGGCGCCGCGGCCCGCGAGGGCGGGCGGGTGGGAGGGGACTGGCGAGGCCGGGTGGAGGGAGGGAAGCCGGGGCGCAGAGGGGCGCATCCTCTGCCCCGGGCCGGCTCAGCCCCCCAAAGCCGGGGGCAGGGGAGGCCCGGGGACGGCGGTCGCGGCCGGGAGAGTGGGACCTCGGGACCTCCTCGGCCACCTCCAGCGCCACCGGTTCCCCCTGCGCCCTGACACGGAGGCAGGCGCCTGATTTTAAATTTATTGTCTGTATCTATTTCTCCTTCCTCGCCAGCTGGGAGAAGTGGCGGCGAGAGCTGCCCAACTTCAGGGGGGCGTCCCCAGCCCGTCCTCCTGCTCACCTTCCTGGGCCCCCAACGCCACCTCTGCGACACTCGGGCCCCCCCAAGAAGTCCTCCTCGAGGCTCTGGCTGCAGAGCGCCGGGGTGAGCGCGGGGAAGGCGAGCGAGCGACCCCGGTCGTGGGCAAGTAGCTTGTTTTTACGTCCTTCAATAAAATTTTTATGAGGATCATTTGATTGTTCATAAATGTGTCTTTCATTAAATAAAATTGTAGGCTGTTTTTGGAACGGGAAAAAGGCAGCGGAAGGATGGGAGAAAGCGGTTTCTTGGGGGTCGGATGCAGGGATTCCCAAGGGGGCAGTGTGAGCTGAGGAAAATCAGGCAAACTGGGTTTCTCTCCCCACCCCCTCCAGAAGTTGGCTGCTACTCCCCTCCTTGAATTTGGGGTTTGCGGCCCAGCCCTCTGCTTTCCACCAGACCGTCCCCTGCTGGCTTAGCAAAGGTGGGTGAGGCGGGCAGGACACCGAGTGGAGGTGCGAGAGGAGGCAGGGGGATCGGCGGGGGTGGGGGGGTGGAGAAGGGCAGGTGTCATCCCCAGAGACATGACCCACCTCAGGCCTGGCGGGGCGAGTTTGAAGGAAGGGTGCAATTTCAGGGTCAGGAGGGAAGAGCCCCAGTGTGCGCTGGGGAAGCCTGCAGGGGCTGGGGCTGGGAGGCAGCCTCCGAGGCAGGAGGGAAGGACGAGGCTTCGCAGACCACAGCCGCCTGTCCTCTCCACTCCTGTCCCCAGGAGGAGCCCAAACTGGGAGGGGGGAACTGAAGGTCGGTTTTCTCCTGTGTCTCTGCTGACCTGTCCCCTCTGCAGTGGGGAAGGGCTGGAGAGGGGTGTCCCACAGAGTGGGCTGGAGGGAGGGAAAGTTGGGGGAGGTGGAGCAGGTCAGCCGCCCAGAGCACAGACTCCAGCTAGGCTGACCCCCTCCCGGGTCCCTGCTGCTCCCCCTCTCGGTTCTTCCCTTTTCGGTCAAGCGGGGCTGGGATTTCAATGCACAGGGTAGGGAGGAGAAGTCTCTGCCTGGGGAGAGGCAACCAGGGCCTCCCAGCCCTCGGCTCCAATTGTCTGCCTCCCCCGGACTGGACCCGTCTGGGAAATCCAAATTACAAGCAACAGAATATCTCTTTGGCCTTGATGGAGTCAGGTTAGCTGTCAATCAAAAATTCCCCCTCACTAGTTCAAGGAAAAGACAGGAGGTTCCTGTCCCCCTGCAGAGGCTTTTTCCAACCCCCCCTCCCAGGGCCGCCAGCACCTCCCCCAGCCCCGGCAGCTGGGGACCCTGCTGCTGAGTCCGGGCTGCTCGCGGCCAGGCAGAGCCCAAGTCGCCTTCAGCCGGCCAGGGGCCAGACTGTGACCAAGGGGACACCAGGGGACAGAGCAAGAGATGCTGCGCCCGAGACAGCCTGGGACCTGCCGAGGGAAGCCTCGCACCAGGCCCAGAGGAAGGAGGGACCGAGGGAAGGAGAGAAGGAAACGGAGGGGGGGCGCGGAGCCGCGGGGATAAAGAGGGGGGAGAACCGAAGAAGAGAGGGAGGCGAGATGAAAAGCGCCGGGGAGGCAGGGAGGCAGGCGGCCGGAGACCGAGGGGAGCGGCGGCGGGAGCGGGCGGCCGGGCAGGGCGGCTGGCGGCGCAGCCGTGGCATTGTGCAGCCCTGCTCCTCGCGGGCCCTGCCGCCCGGGCCCCGGCGCCGCAGCCACTTCTGCCCGGACACAAAGGAGGCAGGGGCCTCCTCTCCTGCCCCTCCCAGGAGACCTGCTTGGGTGGGGACACTGGACCGCCCGGATAAGGAACCCCAGCTTGGCTCAGGCAGCTGCCCAGCCCGCTGGGGGGCTGAGCTGTGCTTCAGGCGAGGAGCAGAGAAGACTTAAGGGAAGAGAACGTTTCTCTCTCACACACCCCCACTCCTCTGCCTCCGCCCCAACCTCGGTTCTCCGGGTCTCCGAAAGGTTCTCCACAGACCCTCTCCTCAGGACCCCCTGCTTGGGGAAGCCCCTCAGCCCCAGTGGCTGGAAATAGATGTCCTTTTCTCTCCCTGCCCCTCTCCAGCCAACCTTCTTTTCACCTCCTGAGCTCCTGCCCCTCCGGCCTGCCCACTCAGCAGACGCAGCAGCCTGGATCCCCGGGCCCCATCCCTGCTGCAGTCAAGTCCCCAGTGAAGCTGATGGGGGAGACTGTCGCCTTCGTTTGAGAGCTGAACTCAGACCCTCCCCACTCAGGCACAGACACAGCCATGGATCAGCAAGCAGGCCTCGCCCACAGCCCCCTCCCCACCAATGCCCCGTTCCCTAGGCCTGCTAGAAAGAGGGAGCCCTGGGGAGGGGGGCGCTGGAAGAGGTTAGGAATCTGAGTCCACCAGGCCGAGGTCCCTCGGGTTGCACAACTGCATCTGGGTTGCACCCCCATTCCCTGCATTTGGAGATGGGGTGGCAGGTCAGGGACTGAAGCAGCCCTTCAGGCGCTTACCCATTCCAAGTGTGTAGGAATGGGGGCACAAAGGATGTGGGGGGCACCAAGAAGGAGGGGCTTGTCTTCCCAGGTTCAGCCATGCCTGCTGAATCTCCTGTCAGACTCCAAGACTCCCCCCCCCCATTCCCTTCAATTTTTCCTCAGCACTGTGGGGCAAACCCCAGGGACTGCAGGCCACTGGGAGTCCTGTTGGGGCGGAGGGAAACCCCAGCTTCAGCCAGCAGCTCTGCATTCACTCTGGTTCTCTGAGCTCCCTTTGGATCCTAAAAGATTTCACTGGACACAGAAGAGCCCCCCCCAAGGGGGAGGGGCGCTCTTACTCCATCACCTCAAACGTGGGCAGCTGCGACCACAACCCAGCTAGCACCAACGTGGGAAGGACAGACAGACAGACAGACAGACAGACAGGTTAGCCGCAATCCCTCCCCTCGCCCTGCACCTCCCAAGCAGTGATTTAAATTCCCCCCGGTTCAGTCCACACCGTCAAGTTCGGATTAAATTTAAAAGAGGCCTTCCCGGTGCCCCCAGCGGGCCATCCCCCCGCCGCCGGCCCTCAGCACCCGCCGCGCGGAGGAGGCCGAGCTCCGTTTGCTTTCATTTTCCTTCTCCCCTGAAATGGGCTCATTTCACCTCCCCGCGCCCCTGGCCCCCTCCCCCTGCCTCCTCCCGGGCGCCCCTCTTCTTTGCCCGGGTCTCTCTCCTCGCTCCTCTTTGTTGGGGAGACACCCCCGCACACAGCCCCTCTCGGCCCGGCCCGCGCCGCGCGAGGACGGGGGTTCCCCCGGCCGGCCGCGAGGAGCCCGCGGGCCGCCCCCGCCCCCGGCGGGGACCCGCACCCCGCCGCCAGGAGCCGGGCCGCAGCCGGAGCCGCGAACCCCCAGGGCCGGTGAACGTGGCCCTCTCAACGCCACGGCCTGGCTCCCGCCGCCCCGCCCGCGCCCGCGCCGCCGCCCGCGGGGCCGTTTCCGGCTCCCCCAGCCGCGCCCGGCGCCCCAGCTGGGGAGTGGCCGGAGGGGGGCGGCCCCGGGGCCGGGGGTGCCCAGCCCGGCGTCCCCCGGGCCCCGGGCGCCCTGTTACCTGATCTTTGTGGGAAGTGTGTGTGGTGAGGGAATGTGCAGTGACTTTGGAGCCCAGACTGGGCGAGCCGAGGTGGCGAGGGGAGACAATACGGGCCGAAGTGCCATCAAGGGGCCGGGGCCGCGGGGCTCTCCCCCGCCCGCCTGGCCCGCCTGGGCGCTGTCTGGCCGCGGACCCCAGGGCCACCCGAGCACCCGGCGCCGGAAACCCCGCCCGGGACGACGCGAGCCGGAGGCCCCGGCATCCAGGAAAGCGCCTTCCAACTTGGGGCGCAGCCGCCAGCCCCGCGGAGGGGCGGAGGAGCCAATGAATGAAAGGGCACATTCCGACGACTTCCCCCCGTTTTCCCGGCCTCTGGAAGAGGAGCCAAGGGCTTGGGACGCCTCCGCGGGCAGACAGACAGACAGCCAGCCAGCCAGCCGGCCCGCCGCACCCCGCCGCAGACAGACCCACACATGAGTGCGCGCCTGGCACCGAGGGCGGGTTCGCAGCCCCGCGGCCGCGCCGCGCTCCTACCTTCCGTGCCGCCGGGCGTGGGGCGCCCCCGGGCCGCGGCGCCGCTGGCGAGGTCCAGTCCCGCCTCGGGAAGCGCCTCCGGTACCTGCTCCTCCGCTCCCCGCGGCCGCAGAGCGGGGCCGCCGCCTCCCGCCGGGGGAGGGAAGCCCCGGCCACCGCAGCCGCCCGCCCTCCGGCCCTCCCTCCCTCGCCCGCCCTCCCTCCGCCTCCCTCGCCCGCCGCCGCGCGCGGGCCCTCCCGCGGGCAACCTGTCCTGGACCCGGGCCAGGTGTCTCCGCAGCGAGAAAGACGCGAGCGCCTCGAGCCTGGCCCGGGCGGCCAGCCCCCCGCCCGCCCGTGCGCTCCCCCTCCGGCCGGCGCCGGGCCTCGCGCCCGCGGCCCTGCCCGAGCCCGGCGCGCGGAGGTGTGCGGGGCCCGCCGCGCCCACGCGCCCCCGCCCCGCGCGGACCTCGAGGGCCTTCGACAGACGCGACCCCCGGCGGCCCGCCCGGCGCCCGGCCGCCCCCCGGAGCCCGCCCCGCGCCGCCGGCGCCCCAGCCCGCACCCGTCCACCTTGCCGTGCCGCGTGCCGGCCGCGCCCCGCCCGGACGCCCGTCCCCTCCTCCGCGCCGGCCCCACACAAAGCCCGGGCCGGGCGCGGCCTCGCCCAGCCCCAGCCCCAGCCCAGCCCAGCCCCCCGCCGGCCGGCGCTGCCCTTCACCTGTTCCCCGAGGGGCTGCACTTCCCAGCCGGGCAAGGTCGCGGGCCCGGCGGCGGGAGCCGGGCGGCGGAGGAGCCCCGGAGGCCAGCGCGGCGGGCCGGGCTCCGCCGACCCCCGCAGCCCGCGGGACGCCTCGGCCCCGATCCGGGCCGTCCGGGCGAGCTCTCGCCTCCTGCGCCTTCTCCCGCAAGTCTCCCTCTCACGCGCCGAGAGTTCAGCTCTATAAATCCTGCGCCTCTTCCCCATATCATAATTAAAAAAAACCAGTAGGGGAGGTTTTAACTTTTATTGCGATTTCTGGAATTGGGCTGCGGAGCATATATTAAGTTTACGCTTATGCGCTCTCGGCGGGGAGGGTCCTTTCAGAAATAAAAATCCATCTTAATATCCGCAGACGAGAGAGATAATTTTTTCCCTCCTCTTCACGCTGTTGCGACTGAAGACTCCCTTCCAGCGAAGCGAATAAATAATCACCCTCGCCTTAGCCATGATCCACGGCTGCAGGGCCCAGGGGTGGGCTCCTGCCACCGGACTGGTCCTCACCTTGGCCTTAGGAGAACTCGCCCCATTCCCCCGGATTTGGGGAGGCGGCCTCCAGGTCTGTGAGTCCGTGGTCACCCCCCACGAGCCACCAACTCTGAAACATCAGTGGGGGCAGAGAGACCCCAAGCGCAGAAGTCGTTCATTGGTGAATTTCGGCCCATCAGGGCCACTGCCTCCAGGCCAGGCGCTCCTGGGCACCCCGCCCCGCCCCGGGACCCCCTTCACGCCACTCCAACTGGCTCCCAGCTTCTGACAGCCCGAAAACTCAGAGACGGCGAGGGGCTCCCCGACCACGGGCGCCCCTGCCCGCCTGGTACCAGCTGGTCTTTCTCTCTGGGAACCTCTCCCTGTTCCCTGGGAGCCAGGGAGAGATCAACTCCAAGGGAAGAGATTCTCCCCCCAAAAACAGGGTGGGGAACGCACAAGACGACCAATGAACAAACTCGACGGGGGAGAAGGAAGGCTCTATTCCCATTTTCTCCTCTAGCCTCCTTGGGGTCACAGAAATCTCTTTTCATAAGCTCGAGAAACACACATGGGATGTGCATAAACGTATGCAAGCGAGAGCCTGGGTTTTGAGAGAGGCTGGAGGAGACAGACATGCAGACACAGAGACCCACAGGCGCACAAGGTCACCTATGGCCCCCTCCCCAGCAGACGACCGCCATAATAGGGAACTCCATGTCCCTACTTTGTGCAGGGACATGATTTGGTCCCTCGGTGTGAAAGTTTCTCATGTTTTAATGACCACAATTCCAAAGAGAACCAAGAACCTGGCCACTTCCTTCTGGCTTTCTCTTTGCCAGCGTCTCTGAGAACAGGGGTGTATTTCCCCATTCTCCCCTCGCCCCCCTCCTCGGCCCCCATTTTTCCCCTAAGGCAGAGAAACCTCTTTCCAGAACCTTCTCTGAGCAACTAAGACCAGAATGGTTGTGGGGAGGGAGGGGAAGAGGCTTTGCAAAGTTTCCCATGGCTCGTGTGCCTCCGTACCCCTCTATTCTCCCCTCCGCCCCCTGGCATTAGCCAACAGCTTTCCCAACAGCATGGTCATGGTGGACGCTGGCAGCCTTGGTCCACCCAGACGTCTCCTCACAGCACAAAACAAGCAACTGCCTGACAACCACAGATGCAACAGACCAGGCCCACGGGCCACAGACAGAGACCAGAGCCAGTTCCTGCCCTGAGGTTTCCCAGTAGGGTCTGTGTGTGTGGGGGGTGTTCTACTTGGACTTGATGGCTTTCCTCTAACCTGCTGACACCCTAAATGTGCCCTTCTCCTGGGGATGGAGCTGTAACAGGGGAAAGGGAGGTGGCGGTGGCGGAGTTGGTGCTGAGTTTCCCAACTCTTGGGACCCCCAGGCACCCCACTTGTCTAAGGGGAGACTCCAGCCCAAGCTGCTGAGAGGCATATTTTCCCTTGGAGGTGGCGGGTGCGAGGAACCAAGCCTTGCACAGGCCCCCTTCTTTTTCTGGGCTTTTCTCTCTCCTGATGCCCCTGCCCCACCCTGCTCCCCAACGGAGGGGCCTCCAGGCCACCTCTCCCTCAGATCCCTGGATTTCCTTGGAATTGGCTAGACCGTCTTTGTCTGTCTCCATCAGCTGGGCCCAGGAAACAATAGCTGCCGGAAAAACTCCTCTCCCTCAGTCACAGGAACTGGGGTAGGCTGAGGAGTGGACAGCAGACGGCGGGGTCCTCCAGACCCATCCTGCAGCTCCCCTCACTGCTGCTCTTCCTCAGCCTGTGGCCGCTCTGCCCTGTCCGGGAGGGGCGCTGGGGCAGTCCAGCTGGGCGGGAAGGCATGGGAAGGTGGGTAGGGGCCCTCGACGAAAACCGGCTGATGTAACTCAGGCAGTTTCTTGTTGCCGAGTTCCAAGCTCAATCCCAACAACATGAAACTACCTAAGCCACAGCTCAGCTGAGCGAGCAGGGCGGGAGACCCGGCTGGGCGTCTATCGAGGAGAAGGGAAGGGGGTTGGGGAAGGAAGAAATTCAGCCCCGTCCCCCTCTCCGCCCCCAGGACCTCCCTCCGGACTGGCGAGCAGACCGGGTGGCCGGGTGGGTAGAGGGTCCGGCCACCTCCTCAGCTTCTGCTCTGGGCAAGCTGCTCAGGGAAGATCTGGTCTGGACCTCCGGGCACCGAACCCCCGCCCCACCCCCAGCGCCACAGCCACGGCCAGTCCCCTGCCTCCGGCCCTGGCCCTGGCCCTGGAGGAAGCTGGCGCGTCCTTCCACTCTGAGGCTGGGTCCTCTGCCCTGCCCCTCTGGCTGGCCCCCCTGGACTCTCTCTCATCCTCGCCTTCTCCAGCTCCACGCCGGCGTCCCTGTGTCTGTGGATGGCTGAGCCACATCGCCTGAGCGCCAGAGCCTCTTCCAATCAGACCCCTTGCCTGGCAAAGCCCCACGGCCAGGGCGGGTGGGGACGGAGGGTCTGGAGGAGGCTCACATCCAAACCACACAACCAGCAAAAGATAAGCCTCGAGCTCCAGCCCTCTCTGGCTCCTTCTCCCCCTGCTCCCGCCCCCAGGAGCCAACCAGACAGAGCGACAACCAGACCCATGTGTCAACCTCGAGGCGACCCTCAGCGCCCTCGCACAGAAAGAAGCCAAAAACCTACCAATTCACCCCTGACGCGCCGAACCCCAAGGCAAGGGGCCGGGCTGGGGAGGCGAGGACGGCACAGCCACTGCCCTCCTCCGCCAGTGGCCGCCGGCCAGCCTGGGCCGCCCGCGAGCCCGGACCGGGAAACACCTTCCTCCCGCTCTGCCCGCCGCGCCCGGGCACCTGGGGATGCCGCCGGTCCCCACGCCGCCGCCAAGAGAAGAACAAGAAACCGCTTCTCTTACCTTGTCGCCGCCTCCTCCTGCCGCTGCCGAGCTTCTGCTGCTGCTCTTGAGGGGGGCTGGCTGAGCTCCTCATCCCCCTCCGGCGGTTAAGTTTATTCCTCTCCTTGGATAGGTGGGGGGCTCTTGGGGTTCCCCCCAGCAGCGGTGGGGTGCGAGTGGCCCAGCACCCCAGGCAGTCAGATCCGTCTGCTCCTCAAGATTGCAGTTTGCTCTCTGCCTCTCTTTCCCTCCTCCAGTCACCTTTAAATGCATCTTTTACTGCAGCACCACATTATATTTGCAGATCATAAAATCCACCTCTCGCGCGCACCAAGACCGTCCTGACATTACTGTTTTATGACCTTGACTTATTGTGGTCACCTGGATAATATTTAAATCAACGTTATGGTCTCTCACTTACATTAAACCCGCCAAGAGACGTTCTAGAAAGGCTCTAGGAGATGAGTCAAACACAAAACACACACATCCACACACTCAGCCTCTTTGGGGGTGGGGGGTGTCGCTAAAAAACACTAAAAACAAAAAAACCACCCATTTGAGGATTACGATTCTGGAAATTTATTTGAATTTTTTTCTCCAGTAAGGAAGCTACATGCAAAAGATACAACATACAGAATATCTTTAAATAACACAACTCCCAGACAGAGACAAGGTGAGGGGCGGGGGGGCGGGGGTTCTGGCTGGGCTTTGCTAGGGTCTAGTTTTAATATTTAATCTTTTTGTTCCTCTGGATAGAATTTCTGAGCCGGCAGTGGATTGGGGGGGGTGTGGGGTGCTGGGAGGAAGGGAGAGGAGCAGAAAGCTGTACAAATACGAGACTTCAAGCAGATTCTCAGAGCGACTGGGAGGTACAGACACCGAGAGGGCTTGGTGGAGGCGCTGGGCGTTACAACAAACACACAAACACTAGCCGAACTTTCCAAAAACATCTAGGATTCTAAGGAGGAAATGCAGCGAGGAAGGAGCGCGTCTCACTGAGCTCTGCGAGATCGCAGACCGGCTCCGGTGGATTTTTCCCCTTGGTTCCCCCCCATCGTCGGGTGGATTCGACCTTAACTTTGCATGGAGAACATGATGCTGTGTGTGAGTGGGGGTGAGGGAAGGGTTGACGCACACACCAGCCACGCTCCCACCCTCCCCTAGGTGGGCACCCCCCATCCGCACCCCAGCACCCCACTTCTCATGCTTTAGGTGGTTGGATCTTCGCAGCACGAACCACAGGTCCCTTGGAAGGAGAGTCTGAGGTCTTTGCCTTTTTTTGCAGGCGCGTTGCATTTATACTCAGGGAGGGGAAAAAAAATATACCACCAGGCACAAAGGGAGGAGGGGCGGGGAATGGAAGGGGGGGCGCGAGGGGCGGGGGGGGGGGGGAGGGAAGGTCGCCCCTCAGGTGAAATTAAAATTGGAGGTCAGTTCCCGGATCCGATTCTCTCGGTTCATTTTCTTGAGTTTCATTCTGCGATTTTGAAACCAGATTTTGACTTGTCTGTCTGTAAGGTTAATGGTCTTGCTAATCTCCAGGCGGCGCTCTCGCGTCAAATACATATTGAACAGAAATTCCTTCTCCAATTCCAGCGTCTGGTGTTTAGTATAGGGGCAGCGCTTCTTCCTTCCGCTCTTTGCTGTCAGCCAATTTCCTGTGGTGTTTTCTGCCTTTATCTCCTCTGTTAAAAATAACATTATTTACATAAGTATCCCTCGAAGAGGCAAGCCCTCCAGCAGGCTGCAGCCTTGGCCAGCAGGCTGTGGGGCGGCTGAGGGAGCACAGGGGAGCTGTTCTCGCCCACAGGCCTGGCTGTTGGGGTCCTCTGGACTCAGGGGCTCTTAGGATTTCTCGGGGGTCTGGACTTACAGGGGAGAAAGACAGAACGCTCTGGCCTCCAAAGCATTTATTAAATTCTAGTCACCCGCAGCCCACCTTGACCTAGCAGAGGCTGAGTACTCCCGCGCTGCCTCAGCTGGCTGACCCTGGTGGCTCCTGGAAGCCTCACCACTCTCCCTCCTCTCTGCTCCACCCTAGTTCTGGAAAAATCCAACAAGAAGGAAAAGTATTGTTCAGGCTCCAGACAGTGTTGCGGGGTCTCCCTGGCCTCTAGAGCAACCCCCAGAGAGCGTTACCCGCTTCAGTGCAGTGGAGAGAGGGTGCCTCAGTGTCGTGGCCAGAGGCCATTGCAGCTGTTTCTGCACCAGACCCCCAACCCTTGCTTCCAGTTCAAGTGCCAGCGTGACTGCCCCACCCCATCTCCCACTGCCAGCTGCTCCTCTCCCTGCATTCTCCCCAGGTAATGGCGGGGGAGGCACGGGAGCTTGTGCAGGCAGCAGACATGCTCAGGGGTCCTCAGACCACTGTCCTGGCCACAGGACCTGGGGGCAAGGGAGAGAGATAGCCTGAGCAGACCAGCCTCCTGGAGGTCTCCTGCCTGGCCTGTGTAGGGATGTGTGCCTGCTTGCATGTGTGTGTTCCTGCAGAGGTGCACACTCTCACACGTATGCACACAGATACATTTCTGTTTTCAGGAGGACGTACTATGAGTATGGTGTGTCTTTCCCACTACCTTTCTGACAGTTTCTCCCCCTGGCACACCTTCTGACTAAGATGGACCACACTTGTTTCTCAAGCAGAAGGGACCATTTTCTAGAGAAAAACCCAAAGTCCAGAGATCTGAGAAGGGGACCCAGCGAAGGGCTCCGAGGATGGCTCTGTGCCTTAGCTCTCCCTGTGTGAAATGAAAGCCCAGGTGCCTGACCCTTGTCTTGAGGGGGAGTGGGGTGGGCGGGGGACCTAGGTGGAAGCAAGACACACCAGGAAAAAAATCCAAACTTGAGGCTGTAGTTTAAAACATCTCAGTGTCCTTCATTCTGTTCCCAGCTCTGCACCTGCAGCCTCCTGTCCGATTGTTTAAAGACTCTTCACATCTAATTCTGTCTTGCTGATTTATTTATTTATTTTTACTGGAGCTGTTGGATTGGCGGGGGTGGGGGGAGAGAACTGACAAGTGGGGGAATCTGACTGAGAGCCCTCTTACCTGGCAGAGACACCAAAATGGGAGGGAGGAGGTAAGCAGCTCAGGCGAAGTGCAGACTGAGAGGGGCGAGCTGGAGTTGGGGGGCTTAGGTTGTTTTGGGGAGGGCAGGAAAGCAAAGGAGGGTCCACCTATAGGAACAGTGCCCGCGTAGCCAGGAGGTTGACTTGTTAACCTTGACTTTGCTCCTGATGAGGCTAGAACACAGCCTTCCCTGCCTTAAACCTGCGCGCCAACCAGCACCAAACCTGGGGAAGGGGTATTAAGAAAAACTTCCACGTTGCACTGGTGTCGCAGGAAGGCATCGCGTGGGGAGGGATGCGCCTCAGTCTCCCCGTCCCCCTGGAGAGCCAGCTCCTCTTCTGGCCAAGGGAGCTAACCTGCCACCTTTGCAGAGGAGACCCCAGAGGGGGACGCTCTGCCCTTGCCTGCCAAGAGAGTGCCTATGCGTATTTGAGCGGGCATGCGTGAGTGTGCGCCGAGCATGCGAGAGGGGTGTGTGTGAGTGTGACACAGGTCGCTGCCAGGCATGCGTGTGCGCGAATCCATATACAAAGCAGCACAAGATCACAAGATCCCTGCTGCCCCAGACGGCTCGGCTCTCCGTGTCCATCTACCCCCACAGCCCGCGAGTCCTTCCACACAGCGCCCGGCAGCCAGAGCCTCGGGGAGCCGGTTTACCGCCCCCTCCCCATGGGGCCTTTCCTGAGGCTTTTTGAACCAACTTTTCAGGAAAAGTCGTTCTCCTCAGCCTCCTTCCATGGCTTGTGTCTCCTTCACAGTTTTTTCTCTCCAGGTGTCAGAGAGCCGGAGAGAGCCGGAGAGAGCCAGAGAGCGCGGCGGCCCTGGGGGCCCCCAGGTCCAGCAGCAGAAATGAATCTTGAACCCTGAGCTTGACCTCTGGCTAGGGGTCTTCTCCCCAGCCCAAATCACAGGAAATTCAGCTGAAGCCACACTCCCTTTAGGAGAAAACCGCTTGCCACGCACACAGAAATCCCCAACCACTCATTTGTAAGCTGCTTTCGGAAACCAACGAAAAAAAATTTTTTTTTTTTTACTGGAAACCAGAAGAAAAAAATTTAAAGGGAGGCAACACTCCAAGTGCCCTGTTCCGGCGTCGTCTCCACGCCAGGCATCTGGGGGAGGGTTGGGGCCCCCGCAGCCCTCACCTCCACCTCTTCCGGCCCCAGCCCAGGCCGCCCGTCTGAGGCCCCCGCCGAGCCACAAACCGCAGAAACCCAAACCACAAGCACTGGTTCCAGACCCACACACAACAAAGCTTCCTTTGCAAGAAACAATTCTCGACTGGGAAAACGCAGTAAAGCCAAACCCTCCTTCTGCCAAGCATTCCCCAGCCCCTGGCCCAAGATCGCCATTTTAAGCTTTTTTTTTTTTTCCTTCCAAACCTCTGACCTGAGCGGGGGACATCACTCCGCCCCCCCAACACCAGCGCAGCAAGCGAACCACAGCCAGCAGGCTCCCGTCCTGGGCAGCTCCGCGCGCTGCAGGCTGCCCGGGCGCCCACCACCCCCGCTCTGGGCGTCCAGGGCCGCCGCCTGCCCGCACCTCCACTTGGCCGCTCACCTTCCCGACCCGAGTGACAGGCCACCCACCCGCTGGGCGCTCGGCGGGCGCGCACAGCAAGCCGGGGCCGCGCTCCCGGGGCCATCGTGGGCCTCCTCGGCCCGGCCCAGCCCGCCCCCGTCGCTGTCCCGAGGCCTCGAAGCCCCAGAGCCCGCGCGTCCCAGGCGGGCGGCGGCCCGGGCAGCCTTACCTTTCGCTTCGTTGTCCGAAGTGTCCGGGCTGGAGTCGGCGGCCTTGGCCCGCTCCTTCTCGCTCTCCAAGGGGCTGCCTTTGGGCCCCCCGAGGCTTTGCTCGGTTTTGATCTCACTGGGGCTGGGGGTCTGGTGGTCGGACTTGGGGGTCTCAGGGAAACTCACTTTGCCCCCGAGCTGGGGCGACTCCAGGGGCTCGGCGCGCGGGTGCAGCCCGGCCCGCTGCTCGAAGGGGGCTTCGAAGTCGTTGGCCCCGGCGCAGTGGGGCGGCTTCTCCAGCGCGGAGTAGCTGGGGCTGGCGCGGTAGTAGCTGGGCACGGGCACCTCGTGCTCGGAGAGGCAAGCGTCCTGCAGGGGGTGGGGGTAGAGCGCTGCCTCGGGGCCACCTTTCGCGCGTTTCTCCGCGCTGTACATGCAGCAGACATTCTCCTCCTTGACACTAGGTGGGTAGGAGCAGGAGGACAGCGGCCTGCCAACAGGTTGCTCCAGGCGGTAGGCGGCCTTGGGGTCGCCCCAGGAGTCCAGCTGGGAGAGGTAGGACGGGTAGGTGTTGAGGGCCAGGCTGGGGCTGCTGCCCTCGTCCCTCTTGGAGAGCGAGGGCGCCAGCCCGCAGCCCCGCATCACCCCGCAGCTGAAGTCGCCCCCGGGCTGCATGTACATGCCCGCGCCCCGGCCGTAGCGCTCGCCGCCGCCGGGCGCCGCCGCGGGCTCCGCGAGCGGGGTCGGAGTTACATGGCGCGGGCATGTCATTTTCAGCGCGAGGGGTTTTTAAGGAGCCACACTACGGCGGCGGAGCTGACATCTTTTTTTTTTCCCCCCATCCGGGAGGGGGAGGCCGCGGCGGGCGGGCGGGGGGGCCCGCGGCTCCCCGAGTCTCCGCGCGGCCGGGCGCGCCATGTGACGACGAGGCCAATGGGGTTTGAAAATGGCCTTGATGATTCAGACGGCCGTGACGTCACGGGGTCAAGTTGCCGGCGCCGCGGCGCGCAGCGTGGAGCAACAGCGCCACCTAGCAGCCGCCGCGGGGAGCGCCGCCCGCCCGGGCCCGCGAACAAAGGAAGCGCCCCCGGGCCGCGGGGCCGGGAGGGGGGCCGGGGTGCGGGGGGACGCCGGGGAGAAGGGGGTTGGTTTGCCCCGGCCCGCCCGCCCGCGCCTCCCGGGGCGAGGGGCCGCGGAGGGGCGCGGACGGGAGAGCGGGAGTGAGCGAGGCCACGGGGGCTCAAAACAGTCCCATGCAAATTAAAAGGTCAAGACGCGGCTCAGGTACTGCTCCCCGCTCTTCGCCTCCCGCGTCCCCCCGCTGGCCCGCGCCCCGCTTCTTCCCTGGGGTTGGGGTGGGGGGGTCTGGGGGAGGGTTCCAGGGGGCAGGGAAAGTTAGGGAATCCCGCACAGAAGTAAAGTTTCTGCCCTTCTGCGTCCTCCCCAGGCGGGCTGGGCCCCGGGGCCGCAGCGTGCGGGGACGGCCTTCTGGGGACCCGCTGGGGGGCTGGTTCCCTGCGGGGGCCCGTGGGGGAGCTCCAGTGTGGGGGTGCTTGGGGAGGGGGTCGCTGTCTGCTCAGGGTCGTTGGGGCGCTGGGGGGCAGCTGGCAGTGGATCTGGGGTCCGGGGAGGAGGGAGCGGGGACCAGAGGCTGCGGCTGTCCTGCCCGAGGGTGCAGCCTGGGCCTGGCCGGGCGGGCGCCCCCGGTTGCCAGCTCAGGGGGGGACTTTGGCCTTGGAGTCGTTGGGCCGTTTTGTTGCAGGGCCCTGGCGGCCCTGCCTTTCCAATTGACCTTGCCCCGCCGAAGGAGGGAATATTCTCGGGGAGAAGGACGGACCCGGCGGGTTTGGGGGAGTCGAGTATCACATGGGAGACCAGGAAACCGGAGGCCACAAACCCCCCCCAGAGAAGTGTCCTTCGCACCACGGAGCAAGCTCGGGGCAGGTTACCGAGAACCACGAAGCTGGGTTTTGGCTGTTTTGTAATAAAGGGAAGTGAAAACTAGGGCCAAGGTATGTTTCCAAGAGTTCTTTCCGTCTGTCCACCGCCCTTCTCCCAAAGCGAGCTAAACTCTCCACCCCTTCCTCAGGAAACGGAATCTGGAGAATAACTTGTCTTTCCAGTCGCCCCGCATTTTCCCCGGGCCGGAGCCTGGGGTTTCCACCCTCCCAGAGGCGGGATCTGGTGGCAGCAGGACGCGCCCCGGCGTGGGGAGAGGCGGCCGTGCGGCTGGTCTGGAGGCCCGGGCTGCAGGCTGCCAGGAGGGGCTGCGGGGAGAAACCCGCCAAATTCTTTCATCCAGGGCATGAGAGCGAGGGCGCCGGGGTCCCCGAACCCAGGGAAAGCTGGAGGAAAACGTGTCGTGTGGGATTTGCTCGCCAGAGCAGCCGGGGAGGTTTGCAATGGTTTTGTGTTTTCATTTGCAGGGGTCGCCGGGGCTGGGCACCGGGGCCGGCCAGGCAGGTTCTCCGGCTCGGGCCCGGAGGAGACGGGCCTGCCCGAGGGGCCGTCCATCCAGGGAGCCATTTGTCCCACCGCCCACCCTGCGGGAAACAGCGGAGACTTTATGGCCCTGTGTTTGTATTATCTGCATAAGTCTCTCCCTACCAGTTTGATCGAAACTGTTCGCTTTTTATGAGGACCCAACGAAAATTCCCCGTCATATTTATCAGCCGGGGATAAAAATTTAGTATGGGAACTGATATTTCCTCATTTATGGGGCGATGAAATTAAAGACCAAAGCAATTGAGAATTATATGGCTTTGGGGGGTTCCTCCCCCCTCTTTCACATCTCCTTTATTTTCCTGCCTGGTGTGCCTGTCCCTGGAGTTTGGCGTCTCATTCCCCAGCCCTAGCTCCCGTTTGGGGGGCTGCTGGATTCTCTCCCCCACGCCCAGGTGCTCCTCGGCCACCTCAGCCTTCCCCAGTTTTACTCTGGGTGTTGGTAGCTGAGGGCCGGGACCAAACTGCCAGAGCCTCTGCCCAGGCCAGGCAGAGCGCCCGCTGGGTGGTAGAAGGTTTCAAAGAACCACACGGGGGAAGGGTCTGAGCCCAGCCGGGGAGGAGACGGGAGAGGCAGCGGCGGAGCAGGGTGAAGGAGACACAGTCCAGATTACCTCTCAAAGCCAGCAACCCCCAAGGCTTACCCTGGCGCAGCAGCGGGAGAGGAGCAGAGTCACTGGGTCTCGAGACCTGTCTCCCCCTACCAGCCCGGATCCCACCCCAAATTCACGGTGTACCTCAGTCACCGGAAGGGAGGGAGCCCCGGAGAATCCTTGCCTTTATTAAAGGAAATAATTCCCCCGGGAGAAGGAGCCTCCCTTCTCAACTCCCCCCTCCTCACAAGAACAAATAGTGTTTAAAGTTGAAATAATTAGAAGTATGATAAACACGGCCCATTAATGAAAAAAGAAATCAAATTCATCAGCCTAAGTGGGACCCCCGGTGGGACAAATGTTTGCGTCTAATTACGCAGGACGAACGCAACCCGGAGCTGTTACACGCGGCCCGAGCAGACGCAGACTTGAGTCACTTGTTGGGTCTTTGCAGACTTTGGGATTCTGCCCCCGTGGAGGCAAAAAGGAAGGAGGGCCCCGGGGTGAGGATGCCAAAGGGCAGGAGAGCATTTGTGCGGCTCGCGGAGAGTGCAGCTGGATGTGGCTCCAGCCCTGCCCTGCTGGGCCAGTCTCTCCCGAGGCCACGAGCAAAGGCCGGTTCAGTCCTATTGTCTGGGCCTGGCGTTCAAAGGCATTCAGGCAGCCACGGCCACCGCCTGCCGCCGCCGCTGCTGCCGCCGCTGCACCCCTCGCCCTGCCTTGCAGGGACCAGACCCTCAGGCTCTCACCCCTAGGGAACTGGATTGGGGTTCAGGAGAAGTCTATGCTGCTAGAATCACCCTGTGAAGTCATTTCCCCAACTTGCTGAGAGCCCGGGGCGACCTGCACCGACGCCTCAGTCCCGCGCCCCTCTCTCACTTCAACTTGAGGATTTGAAAATCCAGAGACTGCAGGCTTCACCTGTACATGGACCAATCCTGCGGCCCCCCAAGAGAGCCCGGGCCCCTGGTGCCCTTTCTCCAGGCACCCAGACCCTGGAGGGGCAGCAGGCGTGCGGGTTGGGGCTGGGCCTCCAGCCACCTCTGGGGGCTATGAGCAAGGGAGATCGGGTGCCCCTTCCCCACTCCTGGACATCCGGCGGGTCCCAGAGGGCAGGCCTAGGGATCCCCATGTGAAAACCAGAAGGAAACAATCGTGCTCAAGGAATAGAAAGGAACTTCGGCTATTTTCCGGGCTCCAGACCTCCAAGCGCCCCCAGAAAACACCCTGATTTCTCCAAGAAAAATTAGTGGAGTTTCCCCCAAGAGGCTAAGGAAGTCATCTGGGAAATTCCAAAGGCGATAAAAAAGTAAGTGTGTCTCTCCCTTTGGGGTAAAATAATAAAAGAAAATACTAATAAGGTGTGTGTATGGAAATCTCTTCAAGCAAAACGGAAAACAAAATCACACCAATAGTGAAAACTGTGCTGTTTTCCCCTCTTGTTTTGGGGGGCCCAGAGAAACCATTCTCTGCCCAAAACGTAAAAAGGGAAAATTTGTTTTCCTCCTTTGGCAACACCGGGCCCTGGCCCAGCTAAATTGGGAGGAGGGAAATCCCAGGCAAAATGCGGGAAGCTCTGAGGCCCAGCCAGGGGACCCTCACACAGGTACGGGAGGAAGGAGAGAGGCCGAGGTCTGCCCCATCCCACAGCCACTCTGCAGCCCGGCCAGCACGGTCGCGCTCCCCTGGACCTTGGACACATTTGCACCCCGAAGCTACGGCATTGACCATGGACACAGGTGTCTAAACGGTGCTTCGTGCTGTGTCTGCAGCCACAAATAATCCCCTTGACCGAGCACCGGTTCCCCGCGACGCCGGCATCCTGAGGTCTGCGGGTCCGAGCGCAGCACCTCAGCTTTCTGCTCTGCCCCAGTCGGCCACTTACTTAACTTTGCCTCCTGAATCGAAACCAAACAGCAAACACCTCAGAGAGAAGCGCTGGGAGGCGGAGAGGGACCAGAGGCTGTTTGGGGGGGGTGTGGGTGGGAGAAAGCCTGGCTCCCCACTTTCATGGTTTGCTTCCAAGTTGCCCCAAGTCGGCGGGGACGGCAGCGGGACCGGCGGTGGCAGCGCCGCTCACCCCGGGGAGAAGCGGCTCCCGCGGCCTCAGCGCTGGCCGCCCTGCAGGGCTCTGCCGTTCGCCTGCCTCTCTCCGTTCCTTCCCGCTTTCATTTCCTCTCTCCAGGCTTCTCTCTCTCTGTTCCTCCTCCTTTCTCTTTATTTGCTTCCTTCTCTATTTTTCTTTCCTTCCCTCTCCCCTTGTCCACGGTTCCCTCTGCTCCTCGGTCCTCTTTTTCCTTCAGTCACTGGCGTCCTGGTCCCGCTTGCTGCTGCTTCCCGCGCGCTTCATTCTTTGCTTTTTCCCCCCGTCCTCAGGGCTCGCTTCCCTGACTTTCTCCCCGGCCTTCCTTGGGTTTTTCTGTTTTTGTTTTCCGCTGCGCTGGGCTGTGCGGGGAGAGTCAGGCTCCCGGGCCTCGCTCCGCAGTCCTGCCCCTGGGGCTTGGAGTTGACCTTCTCCGCTTCAGCGCTCACTCGGCCGCTCGCCGGGCAAGGCGAAGTGTAGGGCAGCCCCAGCCGAGCCCCTGTGGCCATGGCCATTAGAAAGCAAGAAAAGCGGGCACTGGGGCACCCCCATCTCCTCTGACTCCGTGGCTGCCTCCAGCACCCACTTCCAAGGCTCAGGTAGCTTCACCGCCACTGCCCCAACGGAGCCTTGTCCAACAGGCCTGTCTCTGGAGAAATTTGTTCCATTTTTGTC